TTTGCTGATTTGAGTAACACTACTACCCAGTTAGCTTAAAAACTCCCGATTTCCTATTATACAGAAACACACAGACACACAAACACGCATATACTTAAGATATCGCAGATAGAATGTTGGTGTTAAGAGTTCTCGATATAATATATATTTTCCTTTTTATGATCAATAATCAGAGGCTCTGTAATTTTTCTCTTCCTGTTTGACCTTCTAGTTTCTGTGTCTTCTTGTGGTCTTTGAATCTCAAAAGCTTCAAAGATTGCATCCATTGAATCGTCATTTTCAGCGGGTGACGAGCTTGGTTCTTCAACCAGTCTTTTTAGTATTTGGTCAATATGTCTTCTGTGAGTATATTTTTCTCCTTGTATTGTGTATATCACGTTTCCTAGTCTGTTAATTAGTTTTTTTCAAAACTCTCTTTACTTCCTTGTCGACTTTCTCTATAGTGGCAAACGGTACGTTTCTCTTCTTTTTAAATACTGGTTGTACGTTTTCTTTTAATTCAATTCTAGCTGTAAATTTGTTACACCGACCCAACCCACTCGAAAATACTTCTGCAAATTGATTATGTAATTCTTCCTTTAGTTTTATAACTTCTGATGATTCGCACTTTATCTTTTTACAAAAAGGACTGATAGGTAAATCCCATACGTCGAACTTCTGCATCCAGTCTGTGCCCACCAGATTTTCTGTATCTTTCATTACGAATATTTTGAGCTTTCTTGTTTTCCCGTGAAATTTTACATTTAGGATTACTTCTTCGAATGTTATACGCTTTCCTGTAACAGACTTAGCAGTTTTCTGTGTGTGTAACATTGTTGGTCTATTAAGCTTTCTCCATGTTTGTAGGTTAATTATCATCAGGTCTGAACCTGTGTCCAGTTGTAATTTTATCTTTTTATTTAAGATTTCAAGTTCCACATATTTCCTTATGTTAGTATTGTCTTCGTCATGCATTCTAGTAGCTCTTATCCTACTAGTAAATTTTCTGTTCCGACATTGGAATGCCTTGTGACCCATTTTTCCACACGCAAGACAGTTTTTAAAACGACAATCCTTATTCCAATGTAAGTCCTCCACATCGATAACATGCAGATGGGGGGGCGCTTATATTTACTTTGATTTTTGTCATTATTTGCCCTGTACGTTGTACTTTTTTCATTATTATACAGCAAAAAATAATCCCAAATTATCTCATGTCGGTACAGTCTATTTCAAAACGGCACAACATTATGCCAGTCTTCTTCAACCCTATACTGACTGTCTCGGATTCAGCGGTTTTGAATTTGATTTACATAGCGGTCGGGGAGATAAGGAGCCTGGGGTTTTTTGAGAGTTAGTAAGTAATAAGATAAGATCTATATTCTTATATAAGTTTGAACCTATTTCTATGTCTGCATTTTAACACGAGCACTTTTCTTTGAGTTAATAGTTTACATTGATTATTGTATTTTATTATTCGAATTTTTCCCCCAACACGGCCTGCGCCTATCTCTAAAACTATTAAGGCTATATTTAGAGGGAAAATTAAAATAATAAAATACAATAATATCTCAATCTTCATGAGACCCATATGTATCCCTTCATCGGTAATGACTGCATATTCTATGCAAGATATATCGATGATATCTTCTTCATACACACGGGCAGTGAGGAGAAACTCATTGAATTCCTTATGACCCTAAACACAGTACATGGTTCCATTATGTCCGACCACAAAAAATCAACAAGATCGGTAACATTTTCAGACACCCGCATTTTCATGGATAAAAACAGAAAACTACAAACGACACTATTTATTTTAGTTTTAATCTTTTCAAGTCCCAATTATTTTGATTTTTCCAAGTACTTTTAATCTCATCTGAGACCATCTTCAAGGGTTGCATATCTATGGATGATTTATGCGTTAACACCGCAAATGAAAAAATATTTTACCTTTATGGAAAGAAGGTAAGTTATGTAATTTTCAAAGATTTTTAATTGTAGTATTTTAATTTAGTATTTTTTTATATAAATCTTTGCTGCTAAAAACATTTAAGAACTTTGTTGCTATACTCGTAGTTAACTTTATTTATTTTTCTCTTAGAATTTTACGTTTTTGATTATCATTTTGATGAAGCAACTGATGTATTTTCGACTAATATCTGTTTAAAGTTCGCAGTTTTAAATTTACGGTGTTAACGCATAACATCTGAAAACCTTCGGCACTCATTCATATCTTCAAAGTAATAATTGTCCCGGATTTTTCTCGGGGAATATTATTAATCGTATGCTAGGAATTTGTAAATCCCGGATAGATATTAGAGGCACATAAAAAATGTGGTCTGCCATGGATGTTGAAAGGATGGTCAGCAAATGGATAAAAAGGATGTAACTATCCAATGAATCAAATCAAACTTCAGTGATGGAGTTAAAAACTAGTGGTCAATGCACTGTGAGGTATATACAGGTATGGGTACCTCGTTGTCGACCAACAAAGGCACTATTATTGACACTGTGGCATCGATTACTGTGCCCCACCTGAACGAGAGGATATCTACTGGTCTGAAAAGACACATTTCCAGCTCAGTGGAGCTGATGATCTAGTTTGTGTGTGGAGAAGGTCACATACAAATTTTCTCAATCAAGAGGATTATGTAAACCGGGGTTGTTCTTTGAAGTGTATATGGAACACTACAGGATCTGGAAACTGTCTTATTTAATGCGACATACGCCATTCTTGTTAGAACATCTTTGCACCCTTTTATGCTCGCTAAAATTCTTGTAGCTTAGTTATCGCAATTCGCTCCAGGCGCACTGGCACGGACTGGGTGATGTCTCTTTTGGCCGAAAATCTGCGAAGCGGCTTCGCTAGATGCCATAAAAGCTAACATTAGATAACACGGAGCGATGACAGGAAGGGACGCCGCCAGTACAACGGGAGCGAATTGTGATAACTCAGCTAAAAGCTATTTCAGCCACGTGAGACATCTCTCCTTCACGCAGACTGAGCCTCCCGTGCATAGCGCTCTTATGTCGCTTACGCCGGGTGGACAGGCTCTGTTCACTACAAGATTGTTGAATCCAGCCGTATAATGCTACCACAAGTTTCATCGAGTGATTCCGGAAATACTCGACATTTCCTTGCACTCCCCAGATTTTAATTCCATCGGGCATAGATGTAACATACTGAAAAACTCGGAAAATCACATACTGCCACACCCATTAAGAACAAAACGTTAGCTAAATATCTCAACATAAGAACAACTGCATTTCATATATCATGGCTCACCATAACTTTCTATCCATTGTGGCTCTGAATCGTTTTCTGAATAGTTTTTGCTAGTGTTACAAAACCCGTCCCACCAACAATTTACATAAATAAGTGAGAGTGAGATAAGTTTCTCTCTCCCCCTCTGTTCATTTCTGTAGTTTACTGCTACCAGCAAGCAGAAATATTCCTTCTCCCGATGATAGCCATTTTGGCTGAAACTAATCGAGGAATTTAAATGGAATAATAATAAAAAAACGAAAGAATATTAATCTACAACCCAGTGTGTCTGAAGATTTTAATTTTTTTAGTATTTTTTTATTGTTCGATATATATATATATATATATATATATATATGTGGGGGATGGTGTGTGTGTGTATATATATATATATATATATATATATATATATATATATATATATCCTCTTATGATTACATTTTACATGGCCTAGTTGCTTTCTCTCTCCTCCTCTGTATATATATATATATATATATATATATGTGTGTGTGTGTGTGTGTGTGTGTGTGTATATATATATATATATATATATATATATATATATTATGGTTAATGGTTCCATGGCCATGGCCTAGTTGCTTATTATGTGCCCAAGGAATTTCAGTTGTCTCTTCTTCATTTTTCTTCGTTGCAATGTTTTTAACACTATTTTTTGCTTACTCGGGTCGTCAATGGAATTCTCTGTATCCTTAGGCAGAAAAAACATTTGTACCCAGTTTTCGTTTCATCGGTGTAAAGATTTTCCCACATCCAAGTACAAATAGATATAATCAAAATTATCATAATATACATAGCTTTTATATGTGTGTATGTGTTCTTTTTAAAAAGAATAATGTTTAATATACTTATGAGGTTTGATCAATAAATCCGTAACCTAATATTTGAACTTTAAGTTGGATTTACATCTAAAATCTTCACTAAATAATGTTTGATGCATATTATTATTATTATTATTATTATTATTATTATTATTATTCACTGAATTTAAAAAGAAAAGAAAAATATGTTGAAAATATACATATTTCTGTATAAAATGAATGACAAATTTAGGCTACAAACTTACTGATTTGCTTTCATTGCGTATATATTGGTGTGGGCGTTTTGGTTAGGACAATGTTTATATTAAACTGTTAGAACATTTAAGTATAAGTGCGCGTTTCATTTGTTTCTCTTCGGGTTTGTGGTGCGCATGCGCGTGCCTATATGCGTGTCTGCGTCGAAGCTTCCAGCGGTTTATTGAGGGAGGAAACTGCGTAGAAGTGGCATAAAATGAAACATAAAAACCGTCACAACCTGAAAGAAGATTCCGCCTTTATGTAAAGTAAGAAACGTGAGTTATGGGAAAGATTTTAAAGCGAAAAGTAAGACAGAGGAAAGGCGAGCAAGTGGAAAGCGGACGCGTGCTGGCCAATGAATGATTGGGGCACGTTTTGTGGAGCTCAGTTTTCTCAACAGACGATTAAATACGGAATGAGAAGCGTTTTATTTGTTTTTATTTTTTCGTAATTGGAATTGCAGTATTGCATATGATTAGAAAATATATTCGTGCAAATCAGTGCTTTGAGATAGAAAGAAAAGAAACATTCCAGAAAGAAAGCAAAAGAATAATCACGAGGTAAATATAAAGAGAAGAGCAATGTGAATAAATACACCAGATAAAAAAAGATAGGAAAAAACAAAAAACATAAGAAAGAATGAATGAAACAAACTGTAAAAATAGAAAGAAAGAAACTGTAAGAATAGAAAGAAAGAAAGAAAGAAAGAATGAAACAAACTGTAAGAATAGAAAGAAAGAAAGAAAGAAAGAATGAAACAAACTGTAAGAACTGAAAGAAAGAAAGAAAGAAAGAAAGAATGAAACAAACTGTAAGAATAGAAAGAAAGAAAGAAAGAAAGAAAGAAAGAATGAAACAAACTGTAAGAATAGAAAGAAAGAAAGAAAGAAAGAATGAAACAAACTGTAAGAATAGAAAGAAAGAAAGAAAGAAAGAAAGAAAGAATGAAACAAAATGTAAGAATAGAAAGAAAGAAAGAAAGAAAGAATGAAACAAACTGTAAGAATAGAAAGAAAGAAAGAAAGAATGAAACAAACTGTAAGAATAGAAAGAAAGAAAGAAAGAAAGAAAGAAAGAAAGAAAGAATGAAACAAACTGTAAGAATAGAAAGAAAGAAAGAAAGAAAGAATGAAACAAACTGTAAGAATAGAAAGAAAGAAAAAAAGAAAGAATGAAACAAACTGTAAGAATAGAAAGAAAGAAAGAAAGAAAGAAAGAATGAAACAAACTGTAAGAATAGAAAGAAAGAAAGAAAGAAAGAAAGAATGAAACAAACTGTAAGAATAGAAAGAAAGAAAGAAAGAAAAAGGAATGAAACAAACTTTAAGAATAGAAAGAAAGAAAGAAAGAAAGAAAGAAAGAATGAAACAAACTGTAAGAATAGAAAGAAAGAAAGAAAGAAAGAATGAAAGAAAGAAACAAATTGTAAAAATAGAAAATAGAAAGAAAGAAAGAATGAAAGAAAGAAAGAAAAAATGAAGGAAAGAAACGATCCAAGAAACATAGATAGAAAAAATATTTTATGCATAAATATATCGTTTGTCATATATCGGAATCGGAGTGATGCTTTAAATCAAGGTTTAACCATACATTATAGAATATCCGTATTTGATATCAGTGTCGTCCTTCCCCTAGACCGGCTACCGCCCAAGGCTATAGAACCCAGTCGCTCCTACTATTTATCATAGTCATACCTTATTCATGCCATATTCATACCTTTCCCAGGAGACTGGAATTCGACCTCTATTCTCCGTTTACTCAATACGAACCACAATCCATTATTCCATCCTGCATCGCTCCTAATTATAATTAGGACAAGTTAAAATACTTTGAGAATAGATGGGAAGCAGAGGACACAATGAGGCGATGATGAGGAGGAGAAGAAGGAGGAGGAGGATGAAGAAGAAGAAGAAGAAGAAGAAGAAGGCTAAAATATTAACAGAATGCCGGTAAAAAAAATAGTATAAGTCAGAATGAAGAAAAAATGTATGGAAGTAAATGTGAAATTAGCATGAAGAAGAAAATGAAAAAGTATCGAAACTTTTAAAGACCAATATATCAAAATAAGAAAGTGACGTCAATAAGACAGTTGTTGAATAAGAGGTGGATTACAATTGATGAAGTAAACAAAGGATATAGACGAAAAATAAAAATTAAAAATCCCACCACTGATGGGAAGCAGACAAAATCTATGTAAATCAAGTCTATTACTTCCTTAAATGCTTATTCGAAAAAAAATTAAAAAATGAAAACTGTAATTTTAAATTTTTGCAGTGTAAACTTAGAAAAAGTGAAAAAATGTTTAAAAATATTGGGATAATCACTGATGAAGAGAAAAAATAGAAATAATGGCTTCTAGGATTTCGGATATAGTTTTCAGCCACTATCGAATATATCTTCAATTTTTTTACACATGACCAATGCTATTTGTTCCAATGGAATAAAAACAAACCCGATTTCAAAGATTTCTCTAATCCCACTACCTATACGCTATGCTTTGTCTGGGTTAATCTGGGTGGATTTTAAATTCCTCTCTTTTTATGTTTTAAGTAATAATTCTAATTTCTACTTACACTGTCTGTATCCAAGATCATATCAACATATTTACCCTAGTTTCCAACGAATTACAGGTTTTATTTTTTCATACCTTTATTTCGATATATTATCTATTCAAACTTTCGGTTTCATAATAATATGTTATATAAATATTTCTTATTTCATTTCATATTTCTTGTTACACAATATTTAGTCTAGATAAAAATGGTATAATGGTAATTATAGTGAATGTAATTCCAGCCCCTTCAATATTGATCAGAACTTTGACGACCTGAAGTGATGGGAGGCGATTTGGACCCCCTGAGCGTAGAATTATGACAGTGATGAATTATCTTTATTTAAATTTTGACATAAAACAAAACAATGCGTGGAAGCGGCAGTGTGGTTGTCGTAGTAGATAAACCAAGACATCTGATGTTGTCCTAGACATCTCAGTCTGTGTATGTGTGTGTGTGTCTGTCTGTCTGTCTGTCTTTATCTCTCTCTCTCTCTCTCTCTCTCTCTCTCTCTCTCTCTCTCTCTCTCTCTCTGATTCCTTTGTGTAAAAATTGCCCTTGAGTCTGTTAATGCATCGCTGGGGCCCCTACTGAGATATTGAGGAGAGACTGCAGGGATGACACAACTCACTATTTAATCTCTTTTCAAAACTCTCCATGTACACACGGGTATCGAATGCTGCCACCAATGGAAAATGAAATAATTATACCAGTACATTCGCCAGTCCGTTTGTCATATTTCTAAGCGTCTCAACAATCATGTTCTTTGCTTGATACTATCGAGAGGAAAAAAAAGCAAGAATTTCGAATGATGATGCTAAAGGCAATAAAACATTCTTGAAAGATTGCATCCCTGATCTAATTTACATCACGTTATACTGGACCAACTTTTTTAACATCGAAAGGGAACACTGACCAAATCAAGGTAAAAGCTAATCACTTACCGCTTGAAAAAGTGGGATACACCATATTTTTTAAACTTATCCTTCTAATTTTTAGACATTAACTATCTTGCCATAATGACTAGGAAAAATTCAGGCAACGTAGAAATAAAAGAAAAAAATATAAATATAAACACGAGTGGAATGTTGAAAATGTGTCAGCCTATCCAAGAAGCTCTTTCCAGTAAAAATCTGTTAATTTGATATTTCGTCAGATTTTGAGGGGTTTTTTTTTTCAGCACAGATTCTTACATATAAATAATGGAAGAAAAAAAAGAACACATCTTGCCGTCCTTTATAAAGTACTACTAAATCCAGGTAAGCCAGAGTCAAGTGTGACTAGGCATTTGTTCCCGGGTTGGGGGCGACTAGTGATGGTCAGTAATCGAAATAAGATCGAAGAGAGAAAGGTTGTCATGACTGACATGTTTGTTTAACGACCGAACTGGTGAATTGCAGGACATGGCTTTGTCGTCAGAGTGGCGGAGAGCACGAATATAGTGATTGAATAATTTGGCCTTCGCGCGAGTCTGAAAATGTCAGGTGATAGAGTGGCTGTCTCAGTGTGAGGGGAGCGAGAAGATAGCGCAAATGAAGGAATAATGTCCGTAATAAGGACAATGGAAGAAGGAAAATGTGCTAGAGAGATGCTGAGGGTGACGGGGGCTTTAAGATTGAATGAACCTAAGACGAACATATTGAAAGAGACAATGAGAAATTTTATGAGATAGACATACTGTGAAAGAGAAGGAAATAAGATTTTAGAAAAGCAAATAGATATAGGTAGGAGTTTGTTGAAAGACGTATCATTTTGAATATTAGAGAGAAAAGGTGAATATAAAAAGAAACAAAGCTATTAAAAAAAGATAAAACAGAGAGAAGGATATGTTCAATTAAAGAGATTTAAAGAAAGAGGAAAGATAAAGAAGGTTTTAAGAAAGAAATATATTAAAGTAAAAAGTGAAGACAGATAAAGAGACAGAATTCAGAGGAAGAGAAAGGTTCAAATAAAAGCGAATAGAAAGAAATAGTAAGAGAGAGAAAGGAGTGGAAATAGAAAGAAATAATAAGAGAGAGGGGGATAAGAATAGAAAGAAATAGTAAGAGAGAGAGAGAGGGGGGGGTGAGAATATCTGGGATGATAGATAATAGAAGTAGATAGAAAGAATTCCTTAAGAGAGCAAAATTAAGACAGGGTGTCTATAAAACCGTATTCAATTTTAAATGCATGTAGCTTTGTAACTCTACAAGACAGAAACAATCTGTAAAAAAGACTAAGAAGTAGTATTTAAATTTTATTATTGGGATTGTTCATTTTCAACATGTCCACCATCATGCAAAAGGTTGTCGCCCCACATCCTCCCCGGTCGTCTAAGACGTCTAATACCGCGGATGATCGATGAAGTGATCGCTTCGATCCAAGTGTGCTTAACCCTCGTTGTGATTTTCTTTGATCATAAGGCAGTCAAGATCGAACCGTCGTGAGGTATCTTCGTATTGGGCTGGCCCAAGCATGGCGAAGACACAAAGAAAATAACATTCGAATAAATTTAAAAAAAATAAATACGATTTTTATATCAAGTCATTCGTACAGTAATTGATTGTTAACTCCAATAGTTCGCATACAACCAATTATCGCCCCAACCCGCTTCTAACTCGGACGTGACACTTTGTTGACTTCGTAAAGTTTGTTTTGCTGATTCGGTAAAGTTTTGCACAAGGCTGATGTCGGAGTTTCTCTTCGGCAGATAATCATGTGGGATGTCTCGCGTTTGGTGGCTGGAACGAACTCTCGGGACGATCTCTCCCTTCTTGCTTCGAGACATTCGTATTTATTGATGTTCGCCTAAACCGACGTGGGGCGTGGCGCACTTAGAGAAATCGGTATTTCCTCCACCTGCCATCTTCATTGTTTAGCTCCTGGGAATTAAATTACTTCATAATTTGGGGGAATTCCCTTCTTCCACGGGTGATGGTTACAGGCATTACTCCGCCTCATAACTTACACGTCCTCTTATTACCATCTCCCACTAATACTCCTCAGTGGGCATGGGCAGCTCCTCCACCTTCCTTGGTGTCTCATCTGCGCCCACCACTTCGACTACTCTCCAGTAAGAGGTTGTCAATTGCCTCGGGGTGATATTAAAAGAAACATTAATTCTAACTTCGTCATTTACGCAAAAATAAATGTTTTCCATTCATAGCCCGTATTTTTAGCTCTGTGTGTGATCGACCAATGTGTCAATCATTGTTGCCATTTAACCTGTCGCAGTTCAAATCCACGTCAATCCTACGTGTTTCATTTGTTTAAAACCCCATTCAGATGGCTGTCTACATGAGAATTAAAATCTTCAATTTTTCCCACGGGGTTTAATCATTAACCCTTCTTATTTTTTGTCAGGAGTCTGTCAGTATATCGCTCCTTCTATAAAAAAAAAGAAGCCTCCTGATGATTGTCAGTTATAGTGTCACAAGTAATACGATTCTGTAGTTCTTGGAAAAATATTGCAGCTGATTTTCAGTAATAACTTCAATCACAAATATTATCCTCGCTTGGGATTTCTCTCAAGGTCGAGATTTTCACATATCTCTGCAAATGGTAATGGTAATATTAGCCGTTTCTTTATAAGGAAACATTTGGCATTCATTGACTGAATAGACTGTACTGTTTTCCGTTGGAATTTATAAAACTTCTCTCTTAAAATATTTTTAGGGACACATGATGTGGTTTCTGTTATTTGGTAAAATTCTTTGTTTGTGATTCTGTAGCGCCAGTCAATAATATTCAAAGAAGTATGATCTTTGCTAAGTCACTCAGTCCTTACTCATTCGAAAACGTTTTTTCATCATTTTTATACAGCTGACAATTTAGACATATTTGACTGGGTTTGGCGCCCATGAATGACATCCATATGAAGGTCTCCATCTGACGAGGCTATTTAAGAATCGAGTTTTCAGGTTGATATTTTGGTTTCGTAGCACTTTGCAGTGTTGCGCAAAACTCTGGCACAACCTATTCTATGTTCAATTTCTTTTTCTTCTTTTGTTACTTTGTTATAGCTGATCCATACACCGAGATATCCGAAGTGTTTAGGATTAAGTAATTTCACATCCTGTATTTTATGATGGATACAGGGTAGGTGTCATTAGTGCTTTCATTTCAATTCTAGGTCATAGTCTCCGTTTTGGAAAGGTTTGTCTTGAGTTTCATTTCTTGGAATACTTGATAGAGATGCCGATTTTCTGTTCCATATAATTCTTATCCCAACTATGTGCACCTATGCCATCAGCATATCCACCCCCGCTCTTGTCAGTACATTGATCTCAGGAAGGAAAATAAGATCGGTGTCTTTTATAGTTAGACTCGTTTGGGATGCGGTATGGACTGTTTAAATGGTCAATGACCATCTCTTCACATCTCTGTAAATGCGCAGGACATAGTAGATTATGCCCTACGCATTTGCAAACACAGATGTGAGGAAGAGATTAAGTGGACTGGGATTCTTATTTTCTACTGAAATGTTGCCATATTGGGGTCCCCGCCAAACTGTTTCGATTCTTTAGATTGATACAGATTGAATGTTATATCTCGGAGTTTTCCTTGCTTTATTTGGGCGAAAGCGAGTTCTTTTGTTGGCTGGTGTTGTTAGTTTAGTTACAAGTAACCTGCGATCTCATTTAAAGTACGAGTTGTATACTGTAACAACTGTCACAAACTTTTTAAGTTTTATTTTTTTTTGTGTGTGTTTCGTTACATTCTCTGGGCTATGCGTTGTTTTCCGGGATGATCAAACCTTATGTTTAGGGAGTAAATTCTTCAGTAAAAAAAAATTTAGTTTTCAATTGCTGTTTGAGGTTTCTGCATCAAAGGGTGATGTCTTCTTTCCATCAAAAGAGTAATAGTATCTAAAAATGCTCAAGATAGCATTAAAATCTCCATCAATGCGCAGTTTGTTTGTTTTTTCAACTATACAAATTTTACTCAATCTTGTGTAGAATTTCTCTTTTTCCGAGACAGTACTTTTTCCAGTTGGGGCATAAGCGGAAATTACCCCAACCTTACTGTGGTGAACAAAAATATAAGGTTATCATTTTCTCTGGCTGCTGTATGATATTGTCTATTAGAATATCTGATGATTTGATGATTGCAATTCCAACTCTATGTTGTTTTTTCTCCTTGTAGTCAGCCCAAAATAATCTGTATTCCAAATGTGTAATGGAATCGCAGCCAAGTCAACGAACCTCTTGCATGTAGACGACAACAAGGTTTGCTTTGTTGAATTCTTCTAACAAGAAGGGCACTCAGAAATCATATGATTCTGATCAGATATAGATTTATCTTATTGTTCATTTGAAGAAATTTAGTTAATAGGTGAGGTGGCTGACTCGATCTTTTCTTATCTTTTCCTTTCCTTTGCTTACCAAAAGAAAATTTTTCGACCTCGGCCTGGTGATTCACCAAGGAACTCGTCTCTTGAAACCCGCGTGAGGACAATGCAGTAATTCATTATATTATTATGCGTTCTCATAAAGTCAAAAAGATTGGTTTAATATCAGATTTTCCTTCTCCTATATAGATGACTATTAAGATAGCTAATGAGTTAAATCTACCATTTGGTTTTATATCAAAGTTTGCTTTCTTCTAGATGAATAGCCTTCACCAACGGTTGGGTATGGTATGTTGATAGTAGAGTAGTATTCAATTACTTATTCTACGGTGATATTATGTTTTTTACTGAAAAAGCCATAAAAAAAAAGCCATGAATTCAAAGAGTAATTCTACAAAATAAAAAATTAAAAAAGTCATTTTGAATTCCATGTAGAAGCCTAATATGCGCATATATAACTTCTCATTTTTACGTCAAAGGTTCTTTTTTTTTTGCTACGATTTCGTTGTCAAATAAAAATGATTTAAAGTTGTACTTGATAATTTTGTCTTCGCTTGTGCTTATTTTTATTTCTTCTTCAGCTAAGGAGATACCCTTATCTAGCAAGGGTTCGGTTATAGAACGTTAAAAATATTATATATATAGCTGTATGAATTAACAATTATGCTTGTTCTTTTAGATTACGGATACATTCTATAATTGTTTTAGCATTTTTCTACTGGCTTACTTTTTAATATCGTCATTAGTTCTGAGGAATATATATATATATATATATATATATATATATATATATATATATATATATATATATATATTAATAGAGATCTTATAAGTATAAAAACTATACTGCTAGGAAAAACTTCAGTGTGTTGATTTGCAAATAAACAAGCCAGTATCAATGGGGAAAAAAGGTATAAAGAAAGAACCAAGAATATGTACGTTAACCGAAAATAATCGTCCAGTATACGAGTCCAAGGCCCAAAGAAAAAAAACCTGATGCGAGTACCCAAAATAAATAAATAAATTGCTCAATACACTGTGTAGAGGCAGCTTTCCCTGACGATCCGCTTAGGTGAAACCTTGGTAGGTTTGTCTTGCTCTGTAGGTTTAACTATATACATATATATATATATATATATATATATATATATATATGTGTGTGTGTGTGTGTGTGTGTGTGTGTGTGTGTGTGTGTCAAATATGTGGTGCAGTTAAAATGATATTACAATGAATACTAAAATTAAATTACTAAAGTTAATGATATAAAATGGCGAAATCCCTTCGCTAACAAAATTTTTAAAATGTATTAACCTACCAATCACTCGATGAATATTATGATCTTTATTGTTTTTAAAATTATAAGCTGTATAAAGTCTTTCTTAAATACACAAGTACTTTTGACTGTATATCTTCAGACAGGGAAATTATTTTGTTTTTGATAAAATTTAGGTAGCATCTGAGACGAAAATATATATATATATATATATATATATATATATATATATATATATATATATATATATATATAGGTGCCTGATGATTAATAGAGAGAAGTTTAATTTTAAAGGGCGTTAAAATTAACTAGCTATCTTTTGTTCCAGTTAACGATGCACTCGAGGTCGTTTTGTACATCGGCTGCCATTTTGAACTTATCGGACTGATCGTCCTTACTATCGAAGCAGGATTAAATGAGTGTGTCATCAGCGAAAGATTAGATTAGTTCGAAGGCTAATAAGCCTATTTTTAATAGAGTCGGGCAGTTCACCAAAGTTCATAAGAACTGGAACAACAGACGATGACTCCCAGCAGGCAGGAAAGCAGGCGGTAGAGAGGCACTTATCATACAGTTTAGAGAGAACATGAGCCAGTTCGAGAGCACATTTCTGAATCGAATTTACAGTAATACCATCGGGTTCACATATTTTGTGGGAATCTAGGTTATAGATGGAAGGTGTTATATACATATCACTCAACACTGACTCAGTTCTAAGTGCAAAGTTAAGCAGAGATACTCCAGATGAGTGAAGAGTAGAGTTTAAAGAATTTACAGGCAAAGTATTCAGCTTTATCTGTAATGAATGATAACACCTGAAATTGATTGAAGAGGTGAGCAATAGAGACTCTTTTTTTTTTTTTTTATGTTCCATGTCCTTTAGGCATCTCCACCTCCCTCTATCCCTTGCATCTCTTAGCAAGTTCCTTCCCTCTGCTTCCTCTCCCGGACCACGTTCTGTCATCCACCTGCTTAAGCTCGTCAGGTATGTCACGCGCTGCTTTCCCTTGTCTCTCTTTCTCTCTATTCGCCCTGTGAGTATCTGATTCTCCAGACCCTCCTTCCTCCTTATGTGTCCCAGAAACTTCAGCTGCCTCTTTCTGATGTTAATTATAAGCCTCCTCCTTGTTTGCAACATCTCTAAGACCTCATTGTTTTTCACACGCCCGGTCCATGATATCCTTAGCATCGAGGCTCAGTCTTCATCTTTGAGGAAATTGTCCAACATTTGCTGCCGTAAAAAGGACAGATGTCATGTAACAGCTCAGTATTCTTTTCTTTGTTACCAAAGAAATCCTTCTCTCTCGCAATACTCTGCACAGCTTTAGCAATATGTACTTGACCACCCCAATAGGTTTACGGATCTCAGTGTCACACTTAACGTCCTCTGCCAAGACGCTTTCCAGATATTTAAACTTCTGCGTCTGCTTTATTCTAGTGTTCCCGACCTGCAAATCGCATTTCTGGCTCTTCCTGTTACTGATAACCAGGAATGCTGTCTTCTTGTAGTTTATGCTTAGTCCTTTCTTCAAACTCTCCCTCGCTAACTTCTGTAGGAGATTTGGAATTTCTTTTCCGTGTCTGCTATCAGTACTGTGCCGTCATCAGAGTAGAGACTCTATACTTATTTAATACCCTATTACTGTAATCACGAGATCCAAAGTTGCAATACGTCGTCTCATTCTTTCGGCAAACAGGGACTTGTTTACATTTATTACAAGCAACAATAAAGAGAAGCCTGTTGTGTCGAGAGCTGTCACGCTTGTAAAACCAAAAATAGTGGTTTCTGTGTGATATAGCGTGGTTGCATGGTGGGTTGAACCATGAAAAGGATTGAAGTTTCACAAGGTATTCCGAAAAAGGATCAAAGCGTCCATGTCGGTATTGACCCAAGAAGAAACATCAGTGACGCAATATATATATATATATATATATATATATATACGAAGAGAAAATATGAAGGTATGTTGAAATAAAGATATCTGTCTAAAAGAAAGAAACATATTGCAAATATTGATAGAGCTGTTATTTTCATGATATAAAACTTCATTTACTATGCATACATGATAAAGCATACATGAGTGAAATTACTCGTTTAGTTCATGTCAGGAAATAAGAATCCTATAACCAAAAGCGAAATAGAAAATCTGGTATACCACCATAGAGCGACAGGTTGGCACATAGTAACCCCCCTGACCCTGAGATAATTAGTTGCAGCTATCGTTTTAAAGTGAAATTGTTAGCAGAAGCGGTATTATTTAATTCAAGTTTCAACACTACATGGTTTTCTTTGCTGAAATTTCTCCCGATAAAGTTGTTGCATTTCTGTGATATTTGATGTATCTGAAGACAGATTAGTCTGGTTGGTATGTTAATGACTTATTTACACCTAAGTATTCGTTTTTTTTTTTTTTTTTTTTCCTGAAAGTGGTTTCCTTTTTCTGAAGTTTCTTTTTCAGAATGTATTTGAGGAAGTGTGAAGGTATGATCGGCCAAAACGTTCCGCTAACAAATGCATGTGTTTAAGAGAAAAATTTAATTATATGAGCATTTGTTTCAAGTTATTTCAAACTTCATTCTTTATCGCTAGAAGAGAAAGGAAAAATTTAAATAACGGCTGTAAAGAAAGAGAGAGAGAGAGAAAGAGAGAGAATATAAAACAAATATTTTGCACAGCAAACATGTCCATATAATCTAATAAATCCACTAGAGAAAGAAATATACGGAGAAAAATATTTCAAATGAGCATAATGCCCAGTTGTTTATCAAAAATATACCCATCTGAATTAAGCCAGTCAAGAGATAGATAACGTTTAAAAGCTCTTATAAGAAATGTATTATAAAAATTATAAGAATGAGAACAAAATATGGAAATATAGCAGTAGAGCTATATTAATTAAAACAATTTCTTTAGAGAAAAACTCAGTGATAAATGGTTGAAAACTATAAGTAAAGATGGAAAAATTGATAAAAATAAAAATGGAAACAATTTGCGTAGAAAATATTGCTACATATTCTAACAAAGAAAACGGTAAAAAGAAACAAAACTTTCAAATTCTATCCGCTCTAGCCTAAAAAGGATGATAGATAAATTTGAACAGTACATTGGCTGTAGGTTATTTGAAGGCTGAATAAATAAAGCAATAATGTATATATATATATATTATTTCACACTGAAGATATCTTCAAGTAAATGCCTACTTTTAGCAAAATATCTATAACTTACCAGAATATGATGCATTCTTTTAATAGTGCATGATGAAACCATGTCTTTGATGGTGTCTTGAAAAAACAAAACCTATCACCAAAAATATTTCGGAAGTATTGAATTTTAACTCTATCCCGAAACCATTAGATATTACATGACAAGTATAATCTGAAAAATGTGATGTTTTATAACACGCTGGGATTAGTTTTTATTTGGAAAGGTAATGCTTTCTTTTCCTACGAGGAAAGAAAAAAAAGAAATTTAAATAATAATTGGAATTTTCGATCGGATTTCTTTGTCATACGAGATTTCAAAAAGTATAGGGAGAAAGAAAAGTAAAGATTTATATTTTAATAAAAGCAATAGACGAACAAAAGTAGACATAACATAACTCAAAAGCTGATATATATTTATTTTGAAGGAATATATTTATTCTTGAATAGTCTCTGGCAGAAATGCTTTTTCTTATAATACAAAGAAATGTTTTTAAAGATGTGAAGGTATCTAGAAAGAGATGAAAATCTTGCAGGCAACGCAAAAAGGCTCATCAGAAAGAGGTAATTTGAACATATGTAGCGATTCGGTAATTTAGAAATCAATAGATGAAAAGATAAAAACGCATACTTACCAAATCTATATCAATGCATAATTTTTTTATCATTTCACCCTAAGCAAGGCGATAATGCCTCGAGGACGCGGACGTAACAAGGCATGAAAGAGAATGAAAAGACTCTCGAGAAGAAAAGACAAAAATGTAGAGGCTTGAGGAAGACAGAATATGGCAATTGACGTTGTATTTAAATTTTAAAGAATGTAGTTAGCAGGGAAGCAAATAATCCGGATGGAGTTTTGCTGGCGAGAAGTGCGGGAAAAGAAACTGTTAGAATGGTATCCCTGGTTAGTCAACTATATATAGTTTGCGGGAACATATAAGCTTGTGGGTATATCTGTTCATAATATGTATATATCCAGTAAAAACTTGAGCGTAGAAAAGCGTTCCCGCTTTTACAAACCAGATGACAGCATATAAGAACGAAGAGCTTTTCAATTATAATATACGACTAATATTAAAATGATTCGTATCTAAAGATGTGAATGGAATAATATCTTTGTCATCTGATTTAATGCTATGAAGACGAGAACTTATCTTTTCAAGATCACCTTGTTTATGTGATGGGACAATGCCGTGCATAAAAGCAAACTTTTTGAAAGATTTTGGCTTCTTCTCGGAAATTACTTCTACGCATGCCCTGAAAACTTCAATTTCACCCAGAAAAGAAAATTATTGAATATCTAAATAAAAGTAATTTCAAAGAGAGCCGTTTCATTACAGTGATCGGCTTGTTCATCCAAACCATAACGCAACTGGAAACTTGTAGGGAATTCTGAACAACAATGTTTACATAAAGCGATTTACAAGCATAATGAACATTGGGATTCTATTCTGAAATTAGTCTTTAAACAAATAGTGCAAAATTTACGGAGGTACGACTTTTAGAATTAGACCGAAAATCGGAAAAGAACAGGTGCCGGTTCATTTAAGATACTGGAAAAAGGAAAGCAATATTTATGCTAACAATGATATCAGAAAAATCAATACAAACGCAAAAGGATGTATACCTATTCATAGATTATGCAAAAGCGTTTGATATCTTCCATCATAAAGAACAATTTGAACATATTTGGGAAGGGTATTACAATAATTCAGAAACTATACTGGGAGGCCACTGCCAGCATGCAGATAAAAATGTATTCAGTATATATAAAAATAGTAATCCCTCTCAGGCGTAAGATAATGATATGTCATCTCACTGGACATACAGCCTATACAATGAGACCATTCTGAAAGGATTCGAAGTCCTACCAGGATTCATAACAGGGGCCACAAACTGAAGAACATAAGGTATACTGATGACACAGGGTTCATAGCAGACACTAAAAGGAAACTACAAGAACTCCTGCAAAAGTAGTTAAGAAACGCGGGAAGAAAATACTAAACATCACTTGCAAGAAAACAAAATCCATGGTTGTCAACAAAAGCTACAGACCAAAAATGCAAATTATAAAAATTACCAAAATCAAGCAAATACAAGATATTGAATATTTAAATTTCTGGGAAGTGTTTTAACAGAGAACAAAAAAGTTCGTCACCAAAATCAGAATGTTTGGGGATAGCGAAAGATGTTTTCCAAATGCTAAGCAATGTATTAAGAAACAGAAAAAATCATTAAAAATAAAGAGTACCGAATTATTATGCAATGTCAGCCTTTCTACATATCAGTAAATTGTAGGCCATCTTCGCAAAGATGAGGAAGAAACTTGAGTTCATAGAGATGTGGTTCTACAGAAGGATGCTGATTATAATATGGACTGAACATATGAGCAACGACGACGTTTTAGAGTAAATGGACACAAAAAGGATACTTACGCTTAAGATCAATAGGAGGACAGCTCGGATGACATATTGAATGCAAGTGGACAAAGGAAAACGATGCATCACCTACCTAATGAGCTTGCATAAATGGATGACAGAATAGAGTTGAGGGGAGATATCCAAAAGACAGCATTTACTAAGAACTACAAAGGACAGGAAATTGTGGAGAGTTATGATCGCCAAATTCGTCAAGAAGAGGCAGAACTGTTAGAACTAGATTAAATGGGAAATTGGCTTCCAGGCTCTGTCCATCTAGAATTTGGGAAATAATATTAGAAAAAGAGTTAGACCGAGAAGCGAGACGTTCCGTAGATCACGCTTAAGACTTCCTTCAGGGACCTACCCGTTAGAAAGGACTTGCTAACTGAGAAGACGCAGTGTTTCCATAACTGGAGAGCATATGCAGCAACCCTCTATGCTGAACCGTGTCAACGGCCATCGAAATATCTAATGCTATCGTCCTTGATATGTATTTGTCTAGTACCTCATTGTGCTTACATAAGTTCAGTAATAGTATCAAACTTAAAAATCCGGTAAATATTGTTCTACATCGTCAGAGTAGCATATAAAATTCCATATTTAATGGACATTATTTAATATATCATGAATAATAGTCCAAAGCTGGATGTGAATCCTATCATTAGTTTCCTAAACATCAGTCAGATCCACAACCTACAAATTGTAACTTCTTATACGGAAATAAAAAAAATTGGAAGTAAACATAGAGGATTACTGTGCAAATGTGAACACACAGCCGATTGGTTAGATCATGATACTCAGGTTTGAATATCACCAATTATCAAGGTGATAATAGCGACGCTCTGGTAAATGCCAAAATGCCTGTTAACGATACTATGTGTTGACACAAGTCTTGGGAGTGAAATTTGGTAGACGAAACAGTTCGAAAACCGTCATTATTTGTGCAGACACGAACAGATAAGTCATCGTAAACGGGAGCCGTGTTTAATATTTGTAACCCCCATGATAAAATGCTATCTACCAGAAATTTCAGCATAGTCGAAGTATAAACTTAAAGTTGGCTCTGTAGTTGAAAAAAAAACACAGTTGTGCCCAGGTTAGCCTCTAGCAGACTCATATATTCCGAAACATGCAGTCAAGCTTTGCATAACATTATTGTGCAAACCTGTATGCCAGTAAAATAAAACTAATACCAACAAATACTACTTTAATCTATTGTTCGAAATGAAATATCATTCAAAGACGACATTGAGACTGACATTTTGAGAGATACAACAATTTAGCCAATGAACTCGGGAAAGAAAAGTACCTGAAAACATCAGAAAAAAATATTAATACTTAATTTTATGAAAAGAAAAATAATAATAAAAAAAATTGGCAAT